GAGAAGGGTTCAGCTGCAGGCCAAATTTAGCCCAAGCCTCTGCCCCTCCGGGGCCACCTATTAAGATTCAGCAAGCAATCCACAGACGCTATGCTTATAGTTGCCTCAAAAGGCCACACCAGAAACCGAGGCCAGCTACCTCCAGTGTGAGTCTAGGCGCTGCTCAGCAAGGAGCACCTGACTCGCTCAGGATATACCTTGCTTGGGTGGGACCCTGAGTTGAGGGAGACGGGGTTTCAGGGAATCCTGGGCGGAGTGACCTCTGTTATCCAGTTTGATGACATCCCAGCTGTGGTGGCGCTGTGTCTGGCACTGGGCGCGGAGGAGGGCTCAACAGGGATACTGGGTACTTTTGTACAGAGCAAGTCTCGCCTTAGCCCTCACTCCAACAATGTCTCCATGTAAGTCCCTGGTGCCTCCTGTGTGCAACCTAATCGGCATTGGCTCTCAGAGTGAGCAGGTTTGTCACTGCAAAAATCTGCTTGTGGCCGTGGCCCCTTTAAGAGGCTTCTGCCACTGCAGCTGCTGCTACCACAGCCTCTGTCTCACTTGGCTGCTCAGGACTGGGCAGCCCCATGTTCTTACCCCGTTCTACCTTCTGCCATTGCAGGGTGATATCCTGAACTTTTCCCTAGTTGTATGGCTTGTTCATCTAGATCCCAGGCGGTTTTTCCTCATTGCTGCTCCTTATTATTGTCACTACTTTGATTTGGTCGCCAGGGAGATAAACAGAGCCTCTATCATCTACGCTATTTTCGTTGTCGATCTATTACAATATTATTGAGTGTATTTCCTATGCTGTACTTCACATCCTCATGACTGTTTTTTAACTACCAATTTGTACTTCTTAATCCCTTCACCTTTTCCACCCAACCCCCCCAACACCCCTCCCATCTGGCAGTCATGAGTTTGTTCTCTGTATCTATGAGTCTATTTATATGTTGTTTATTTTGTTCATTAGGTTCCACATATAAGTGAAAGCATATGTTATTTTTGGAACAAATAATAAGTTATCAAGGCACTCATTAAATTATATAATTAATTTTTAAATATATCTCTTTTGCAGTTCACCAGTGCCCTCCTTTTGTGCATAATTTTAGGATGCTTTTTTTTTTATATAGTTCACAATCTAAAGGAGAAAGGCCAAAAATTTAGATAATTTTAAAGATTGTTTTTGAAATTTTCTCTTGAAATATGCAAGTGGATTTTTACTGCATATAATTTACCTTTTCAATTTAAAATTTTAATTAAATAATTTTTATTTTCTTTCCCAACAAGCAGATGATTAGTAGGGAAGTAGGAAATTGAAATAGTTCAACCATGAGGATAAAGTGGCTGGAAGTAAGCCAAGCTAAGATTTTCAATTTAGGGAATCACCATATTATAGAACAAAGAACTGAATTAGTGGTTAGATCTTAAATCAGTCTTGCTCTGCTTGTTTTGATCTTAGGAAATAGTAGCAGTGGCTAACATTAAGTGCTTATTAAATGTTGTGTATTTTATGTGCATTATCTCATTTAATTCTTGTAACAACCCTGTAAGGTAGATGCTAGTGTGATCCCCATTTTATATATAAGGAACCTGAGGCTTAGGGAAGTTACTTGTCAAAAGTCAAAGCTGTTAAATAGTAGAACTGGGATTGATTCTAATCTCTTTCCTTTCAAAACCCAAACTCTTAACCACTGCATTGTGCTACAGAAGGTTGTTCAAGAACACAGGCGGGTTGGAATGCAATGTTGAGTATGACTGGAGTCTGGAATTACTGTGTGTGGAGGGAGTGAGGATGGTGGGAGATGACATTAGAAAAGTAAACAGAGGTCAAAAGTGAAATATGGTTTGTTTTTTTTTTTTTCCCATGCTGAAGAGTTTAAAATTTATCCTAACAGAATGAGGAACCATTAAGGTTTTTAAGCAGGGAAGTTATATAATTATATTTGAGTGTTAGACTACTATGGCCAGAATAGAATATGGGTTGAAGAGAGAGGGAGACTTGTTTGGGGAGATGTTGTGGCAGTAATGTGAGCCAGTGATGGCCAGGGTAGAGTCTAAACTAAGACACTAAGATAGATGGGAGCAAATAGATTTTTTAAACTTAAAAGGTGAAATTGAAAGGACTTAGGTGTGGCCTAGTGGTCATATAGGTGGTGAAAGGTGAAAACCAAAGGGTATAGTGAATGTCAGATTTCCAGACTAATGGCACAACATAGGTATGCTTCCTAATGAGTTAGGAAATTGTTTTAACTGGTCTGAGGAATAAGGCAGTTAGTTCATTTTAGGACATACTGAGTTTGTGGTGTGTGGGGACATCCAAACAGTTAGAAATACAGAACTGTAATTCAGGAGAGAGCTCTTAATTTAGTGTTAGGGTTTGTAGGCATATGAGCAAATGGAGTAATGTGCAGAGTAAGAAGTAGTTCCCTTGAAGCCTACCTTTATTTACTGCCACATTCTTTAGTACTAGAAAATTAAAATGCATTAAAAAGTGCTTAGGGAAACTTACTAATAATTATTTTATGGTTAACAATATTTGGGATTCTTCTAAAGTATTTCTAAATTTTAATTATTAATTTATTTGTAGGAAATGTGCACTGTTGAAGAACCCAATGAAGAGTTTACATCTAGACATAGTTTAGAATGGAAATTTCTATTTCTAGATCACAGGTAACTCCATTTTTAAATTTCATAAAAAGATGTAGTCATATAATTGTTTAAATTAATAGATTTCAAGGACAAACTTTTTCTAATCAGGAAGATCAAATACATTATTTTCAAAATATAAAGATTCCCCTTAATTAATTTTTAGTTGGAGTATTTCTTATTATGGATAAAGTTGTAATATTGATTGTTTTAAATGTAATTTAGGGCACCACCCATAATAGGATATTTGCCATTTGAAGTTCTGGGAACATCAGGCTATGATTACTATCATGTGGATGACCTAGAAAATTTGGCAAAATGTCATGAGCACTGTAAGTAGACTTTAATCTTTCTGGTGATAATAACTGTTTTTAATCATGTAAATAGCTATTACATTAATAGAAGGTGGTAAAATACAGACTTAGAACTTTTTTTTTTTTTAAATATACTGGAAAATTTTACTTTATATGTTTAACCAATCCAGTAGGAATCATAGACCAAGTTTAAATTAAACTTGTTCCTATTTTACATATTTTAGTCTAATAGTAAGTACAGCTTTATAATATGACATCTAATAAACCTTGTTCTGAAGTGTATAAACTCTACATCTGGAGTAAGAGAAGTCGATTCCTTTGAAAATTGTAATAGTATATCAAAATGTTAGAATACTACTTTATAAATTTTGACTTAACAAGCATGTAAGTCAGCCCAGGAGATAGGTATACACTTAAAGAATCTGTTACAAAGCTCATAGTGAGTACTTAATGTTACCTGCCTTTATTAATCACCACAGTTCTAGAAAGTAGATGCTATCAACTCCATGAGTAAACTGAGACATAGCAAGACTAAGTAATTTACCCACAATCCCATAACTGCTTGGCAGCAATAGGATTAGGGTCTACACCTACCCCTTCACCACAGGCTATTCATTCCTTGTCTTACAGGTTTGTTTTAATGATAGGCGTTATTTGCTTTCCTTCTCCTCCTCCCAAAATCCTACCCTACCCTCTTGTGTATCCTCTAAAACTTAATTAGCTATTTAAGATATTTTTATGATGTCTTAGGTTGGTCTAATAAACCTCTCTATAGGAAAATTAAGGATGTTATATAATACCATCAGCTATATGGAAAATTTTTAGAGTAAAGTCATTTCAGCACAAAAGAAAACATTATTCACTCCAAATGATAGGAATGTATTGGGAAGTTCTGCACTTAACCGTTACTTCAGACAATTGAGTATTCTGATTTTGGTTAGTCCAGGTTTAGAATTAAATGCTTCAGAGATGCTGTACCTGCCAGTGTGATTACTTATTACTCTCACTCTCAGTATATCTTAGAAGGAAGAAGTCAGTATGTGAATACTTTATTCTTTAGTATTTAGAAATTGATTGTGTATGAAAAATATGTAAGATCAGCAGTAATTGGCTATAAGTAGGGCACTGTGGAAGGATAAGTTAATTGCTTGGGACCTTAAACTATCTCTACAGAATGACATTTTCTTATAATTGGTATATATGTTATTCAAAAGGCAGAAGAAGAATTGTATATATAGATAAAATGATAGCTTTGGTTAAAAAAGGTTCATAACTAATAATGAATCAAAACTATTTTTCTCTTTTCTTTTTAGTAATGCAATATGGGAAAGGCAAATCATGTTATTATAGGTTCCTGACCAAAGGACAACAGTGGATTTGGCTTCAGACTCATTATTATATTACTTATCATCAGTGGAATTCAAGGCCAGAGTTTATTGTTTGTACTCACACTGTAGTAAGGTAAATTCATTTACAGAATTTTTGAACTATAGAATCATCCATAATGATATGACAGTGAAATTTTTATGCATGACTTGTTAATGAACTACAAAGTGATCACCCCCTTTGATACATAGTTTCAATATATTATTAAGTTGCTTACATTATATAGAAAGATAATACAGATATATAGATACTTAATTCTCACATAAACTTCATGGTTTAGAGCAGAAGTTGTAACTGTCTTTTATCTACCAAAGTAAAGTCATATAAAAGGAAAACTGGAGTAGATAAGCATACTCTTTATTTAATTTCTCTTTCAAGAACTGTGCGGGTACAGAACATTTACATTAGATACCTAAACAAATGCAATTTGAGATATTATACTATTAAGATAGTATACTGTACATTTGCTGTAGGTTTGTGTAGTGTATGGAAAATAAGTATGGAATGAACAAGTAAGATACATAGCAAAACTGAATGCATGCACCTCTGCAGTATTTTAAGTGAACAACCAAACACTAAATTTTTTTTTTCATTTGTAGTTATGCAGAAGTTAGGGCTGAAAGACGGCGGGAACTTGGCATTGAAGAGTCTCTTCCTGAGATAGCTGCTGACAAAGTATGTATCTTATAGTTTTTAAAAAATTTTATTTCTTCCCAATGAAAGACAAGATTCAATAACGTATAAGAAAATTATTTTTGAAATATTTTGTTTTCTCACTTATGACAGGGTTATAAATTTACTGTTTATTTTTATTTTAAATTTGATATGTTAAAGCCTCATCTGCTTCTGAAAAAGATTTGTAGGGTCTGCTATTTGATAATTGAGTGAGAGACATGTATGATCTCAGATTTAAGCTACCATTAATTACCTACAATGTACTAGACTCTGGGTAGGTTTTTTATATTAATTTAAAAGCCATTTATTCCTCATACATCCTTATCTGGTAGGTAATATCCCCACTTTGAAAATATTGAAATAGGCTTTAAGGAGGTGCGGGGGAGCCTTCCCTCAAGACACGTGGATGGGAACTTATAGTCAGAATTTGAACTCTGGTTTTTCTTCTTTTCATTATATCATATAGAAATGTAGTATACTAGTTACTATGGCTGTGTAACAAAACATAATGATGTAATATAATATTCATTATTTCATAGTTTCTGTGATTAAGAATCTAGGCACAGTTTAGTTGAGACTTCTGGTTTAGAATTGGTCATGAAGCTGCAATCAAGGTGTCAGCCCATGGTCTTTTACAAGGCTGTAATCAGGGTGTCAGTGGGGGCCACAGTCATGTCAAGGTTCAGCTGGGGCAGAATCTGTTTCCAAGCTCATTTTGGTTGTTGGAAGGATTGGTTCCTCATGGGTAGTTGGACTGAGGGCTTTGATTCCTTACTGGCTGATGGCCAGAGGCTACCCTCAGTTCCTTTTCAGATGGCTCTTTCCATCAAAGCAAGTATGAAAGAAGATCCAAGGAGAGAAAAACCAGCGAGATGAAACTTGGAGTCTTATGTAACCTAATTACAGAAGTGATATTGCGTCACTTTTATCTATTCTGTGCACTAGAAGAAATCACTAAGTCCAGCCTCCACTCAAGGGAAGGGAGTATACAAGGGAGTGAATACTAAAAGGTGGGAATCATCATGAGACATATCAGAAGTGGCCTACCACAGATATTTTTGACCTGCAGAAAATAAGTGGAATGAAAAGAGTCAAATATCTGTATAAAAAGTGAGTTAAATAGACAGCATGCCAGGGAACATTATGGGGGGTCACTTTCAGTCATTCAGTAAACCTTATTAAGTACCTTCTATGTGCCCGGAAGTACTGGACATGGCTCTAGATGCTGAGAGTATAGCAATGAATAACACAGACAAGTTCTCTACTCTCAAGGATGTCACGTGAAAGTTTTTCCAGTGAGGCTTTGTATATATAGAGGAAGAAGTTCCAGTATGTTTTAGTAAAATAAATTTTCTGAGAAAAGTGCCTAAACCTAGAGTTCCTTGAAATGAGGGCCGTTATAGAAACCGAAGTAATACATAGAGATTGTTGCCCCTTGCTTCTCTTTTTTCCCTAATGCTAGTGTCCAATCTTAGTAAATTTACCTAGCCCTACTTCCAAAATATACTCCAACTATGTCTGCTTTCTGACCATGTTTGCTTTTGCCACCATGATCCACCATGGAGTTTAGGGAAGGAGGTCTGTTTGAGATATATTTTTAAGAAACTTCGATGTCTGGTGGGTTCTAAAGTCATGATTCTGAGTGTGATCACCAAGGGAAAGGGTGTAGAGAGAGTTGATGACCAGAGACTAAGCACTGGAGCTCTCCAACATTAAGAGGTGAGGGAGACAAGGAAGAACCAGTCACAGAGGAGACCAGTGGAAAATAGCCAGTGAGGTAGGAATGAAACCAGTAAAACTAAGTTGTCCTAGAATTCTGCCAAGAAAAGAAAGTGTGTCAGTGACAAGTAAACAGTCAGCTTTGTCAGATTCAGCTTTGGTTAAATTAGATGAGCACTGAGAATTGAGTATTGAGTGTACAATATATTTTCATTGATCAGTAAGAAGAGATTGGCTGGACTAGTAATACGGGTGAAAGCCTCATGAGAGTGAGTTTAAAAGAGAATTTTCTGGGACAAGGGAAATTACATACAGTGAGTAGGGAGGGGTTTTACTACAAAAAGAAAGAAATGGGGCAGTAGTAGGAAGAAGTGGGCTTTAAAGAAGTTTTAGCTTTTTAGGTGGGATAAATATCATATTTGAATACTGATGAGAATGTTCTGATGGAGAGAGGAAAATTGGTGATAAGAGACACTGAGGTGGAAATGCTAAAGCAACGTTTTTGAGTAGATGAGGGAAGGTGGGATCTAGTCCATAAGTGAACAAACAGTTTGGACTTCACTGTTCAGCTATAGAAGGGCTTGTCAAATAATGATCTAAAGGCTAGATATGGCCTTCTGCCAAGTTTTGAAACACTCACAAACTACAGGTATGTTTTTATACATGTTTTTAAGTGATTAAAAAAAAATCAAAAGAAAATGTTTTGTGACACATGAAAGTTATATAAGCAAATTCTATAGCCATACTCAATTGTTTATATTTGCCTATGGCTGCTTTTGTGCTACAACAGCAGAGTTGAATAGTTGTGATAGAGACTGTATGGCCCACCAAGCCTTAAATACTGACTCATTTACGCTTACAGAGAAAGCGTGCTGATCCCTGATCTATAGTCACATGAAGAAAGGTAGAATACAAGTACAGAGGCAGATACGTAAGTTGATAGAGTACCGGGAGCTTGTAGCAGAACTCTTTTCAGTGAAATAGGATGCAGAGTCACCAGCTAAGAATGAGGTTAGAAGAGTTGTTGGAGGTTTGAGAACAGAAGAGAAAGTGTTAAGTGGCTGTCTGGGAGAGTAGTGAATGGACAAGAAAATTTTAGTTCTTCTGGCAGGCAAGATTAAGAGCCCACTTGAAGTTCCTGGTTGTTAATTTAGAGAACAGTCACCATGTTGTGTTTCTATAGCTATGTTCAGCTGTGCAGGAACAGATGTAGACTAGGTTAAAATTGAGTTTCACCAGTATTGGGATTTTTCCAAGAGAATGTGGTGAAAGGAGTTGATGATGCATTCAGGGGCGTGGATAAATAGGGGAGAGAAGACATATAAAGAGTGGTTGTGAATATGTGGTAAAATCAGTGTATTTTAGGTTCCACCGAAGTATTATTGGAGTTGGGATACTAAAGAGAACATATAGGAAATAGGGGAAATGGTGGTCAATAAGTAGGATGTTTGAAATTGAAATTATGGATGGTTTATTGTTATTGCTAATGACAGAGTCTAAGGTATGACAGAGTGACCAAAGACAGATACAAGTCAAAATCTTTACGGGGGAGTGCATCAGGGAAGAGAGAAGTCGTGGTGTTGAGTATGTGAATATTGATAACTTTGGAGTTAAGATTAGTGAGGATGATACTGAGCCAAGAGCTGAATTTTAATTCAGGTACTTAGTGAGGAAGAGTGACTACAAGGTCAGCAGATGACTGCAACAATGAAAGATAGTGAGTGCGTTGTGGTAATGTGAGATCCAAAGCTTTGAGTTTTGGAGAAAGGGGAAGGAAAAGTTTTCTGTGTAGAACAGTAGGAGGACTTCTGTTCTACCTCCAGGACTGATGTGTGAGGGTTGAGAGAGAGAAAACAGCCACCACTTAGGAGACTGACAAGGAAAGTTTCATTCTCTGGGGAGATCTAAGTTTTAGATCTAAGATCTAGAGCAAGCCAGTGAAGGAATGTTTAAGATGAGGTTAAGACTATGGAAAATTTTGCTGATTATGGATACTGAAAGCAGGCAGAAGGGTTTCTGAAGCTGGGACCAGTGGGAGATGGAGACAAAACAGAGGATGTGAAGAGCACTTAGAATGCAGGAGATAAGGCATTGTGTCATATCGCCTTTTTTCCCCCTTTATGGTATGAGTAACTTTGAAATCATATTGTTTATGTATATGTGTATATCTATGTATACACATATGTTCCCCCTTCCAGTAGAATGCTTGGAATAAGAACAGAGACATGTTTCTTATTCATTGCTATATGTGGAATGCCTTTGATATGCCCTGTATTTGGCACTTTCTTCTATTATAATGAGGAGGAATGAGAAGATGAGTGTATTAATATGTCTGGTATATTAGCAGGTAAAGTTGTATATTTGGTAGTGGCAGGTATTCTCATCTGTATAAGGCAAGGCTATCACTTGAGAGAGAGGGAGACAGAGGTTTAAGAACAATGGAAAAGATATGGAATAATTGTGAAGAGTAGGCTTGTGAATCCACTGGAAAAATGTAAAGTTTCTTCCTAATATTGAATGTCTATTTTAGGTTGGTGATCATTTTAGGTTGACTATAATCGTTTCCAAAAAAAAAAAAACAAAAACCCACATTGAACAGATGAGCTGGAAAGATAGACTAGGAAAGTATACTTTAAAGTGGAGTTTTAATTTGTGATTTTAGAGATGCTACAGTAACTGGTAGTGACAAGGCATAGAGATTGAATGAGATGGAATAGAGGAAAAAGTTATTGGAGATGAAGAATTCCTAGAAAGCTGAGAGGCCAGGACAGGCTAACGGATGAATCATCCATACGAATATTGAAATTCTGTAGTAAATTTCAATGGACAAAGTTCCCTTATCCATTGGAGTGAAGAGGAAGATTTTGAGCAGTCAGATGCTGAGTTCCAGAGATGCTTTACAGTACCTTGTCTAGAAAGTCGTCTTTATTCTGTTTCTTTTTTTTTTCACTTTCTTTTTTGTTTTAATATACTAAAATGTACATAACAAAACTTACCATTTTAACCAATTTCAAATGTACTGTTCAATGGCATTAAGTACATTTACACTGTTGTTTAGCCATCACCATCATCCACCACCAAAACTTTTTCGTCTTCTCAAACCGAAACTTCATACCCATACCCATTAAACAGTAACTCCCCATTCCCTCCATCCTCAAACCCCTGGTAGCCACCAGTCTACTTTCTGACTATATTAATTTGACTCCTATAGGTACCTTATGTAAGTGAAGTCATACAGTATTTGTCTTCTTGTGACTGACTTGTTTCACTTGACATAATGCCCTCAAGGTTCATCCATGTTGTAGCCCATTGTGTGTATGCGCCATGTTCTGTTTATCCATTCATCCGTCGATGGACACTTGGGTTGCATCCATCTTTTGGCTATTTTGAATAATGCTGCTTTGAACATGGGTGTACAAACATCTGAGTCCCTGCTTTCATTTTTTTTTTAGCATAAACCCAGAAATGGAATTGCTGGATCATATCATATTCTTTTTTTAATTTTTTAAGGTACCATGATATTCCATAGTAGCTGTATTAGTTTACATTTCTACCAACAGTGCACAAGAGTTTTAATTTCTGCAATCCTTTCCAACACTGGTCTTTTTCAGTTGTTTTCTTTCTTTTTTTTTTTGATAATAGCCATTCTGATGGAACGAGTATCTCACTGTGATTTTGATTTGCATTTCCCTGTGATTGTTGATATTGAGCATTTTTTCATGTGTTTATTGACCATTTGTATATCTTCTTTGCAAGACCTTTGCTGGTTTTTTAAATGGATTGTTTTTGTTTCTGAATTGTAGAAGTTCTTTATATATTCTGAGTTTAATTTCTTATCAGATATATGATTCACACATATTTTGTCTCGTGCTGTGGGTTGCCTTTCCACTCTGTTATACTGTCCTCTGATGCACTTTTGTTGCTTGTGCTAATGTCATATCCAAGAAATCATTGTCCAGTCTAATGTCAGAAGGCTTTTCCCCTTCTAAAAGTTTTATAGTTTTAGTTCTGTGTTTAGGTCTTTAATCCATTTTGAGTTAATTTTTGTGTATGATCTATGGTAATAGTCCACTTTAATTCTTTTGCATCTGTTTTTTTAAATCAAGAATGAACCCAAAACTTTCTGGCTATAAAAGATTAATTCCTTTACCTAACATATACGTAGATATCATTGCTTTGTTATGGGTGAAAACTGATTTGGCAGCAAGCAATATTGATAATTTGGGATCTCTGAACTGAACCATAAGAAAACATTTATTTTTCTCTTTCTCCTTAGAGCCAAGATTCTGGGTCTGATAATCGTATAAACACAGTCAGTCTCAAGGAAGCATTGGAAAGGTTCGATCACAGCCCAACCCCTTCTGCTTCTTCCCGGAGTTCAAGAAAATCATCTCACACAGCAGTCTCAGACCCTTCCTGTGAGTACTCTAGCTTGAAAGCAGACTTCCTTTAAAAAGAATGTTTCTAAATTGTCTGTGTTACTGGTATCAGTATTTTTCATCAAATGCTACTTTAAAATAAGTTTTAACATTTCTGAAGTATATTAGCCTTTCCAGTAAGAGGCACATTGCTCACATTTAGCGAGGAATTAAGTTTACGAAGTAGCCTATAAAATATGTAGGTAGTAATGTTGGTATTATTAAGTTGTTTTTAATTATCTCTCAGGAAGAAATCAAAAAAGCAAAACCACTTTTCTGTTTTTTTTTTTTTTTTTTTTTTTACTGGTAGAGCCAGTAAATAATTTTTTAAGTTTGTTTTTTGAAAGTTCTAAGTGTCTTGTCTTTATGAAGACTTGCATAATTGTCATTGAATTAGTAACCTTTTTTTAAGAGTAACTATTAAAAGTATAATAATGAGAAGAGGGGTTGTAAAGTACTCAGCATTGTGGGTAAAACATCAAAGAGGTTAAATATGGAATTTCTGAAATCTCAGAGAAAAAATTTCCCCTATTATCTCTCTTTCATTTTTTAAAAATTATTTTATTCTGGTAAGAACATTTAAAATGAGATCTACCCTCTTTAGGTTTTTAAGTGTATTATATGTTATAATTGACTATAGGTACAGTGTTGTACTGCAGATGTCTAGAGTTTATTCACTGTGCTTAATGGTAACTTTACGCCTATTGATTAATGACTCTCCACTTTCTCCCCTGCCCAGCCCTTGGCAATCACCAGGCTACTCTTTGATTCAATGAATTTGACTATTTTAGATATATCGTATAATGGAGTCATGCATTGTCTGTCTGTCATTGGCTTATATCACTTAGCTTAATATCTTCATGATTCTTCCACATTTTCACATATTACAGAATTTCCTTTTTAAAAGTTGAATAGTATTTTGCTATATGTATATACCACATGTTGTTTATTCATTTATCTGTCAGTGGGCATTTAGGTTGTTTCAAATCTTGGCTATTGTGAATAGTGCTGCATTGAACATAGGAGTGTTAATATCTTCAAGATCCTAATTTCAGTTCTTTTGGATAGATACTCAGAAGTGGGATTGCTGAATCATATATGGTAGTTCTGTTTTTAATTTTTTTGTGAAATCTCCACACTTGTTCCACAGTGGCTTCCCCATTTTGTACCCCTACTAACAGTGCGCAAGAGTTCCATTTTCTCCACATCTCTTGCCAACACTTGTCTTTTGTCTTTTGGGTTATCGCCATCCTGACAGGTATGAGATGGTATCTCATTGTGGTTTTGATTTGCATTTCCCTGATGATTTGTGACACTGAGTATTTTTTCATATACCAGTTGGCCGTTTGTATGTCTTCTTCAGAGAGATGTCTATTTATGTCCTTATGCCATTTTTTAATTGAGTTATTAGGTATTTTACTATTGAGTTGTACGAGTTGAAACCATTTTTATATTTAACGTTTTCCTATTTCAAATACTTTGTCCTTAAAAAAAAAAAAAGGAATTAAAATGAATCAATTTATTGTTGTAGACTTCACTTTTATAGAATAATTTAGAAAAAACTCAAGGACCTTATTTTTATGCACCGAAATGCATTTTGAGATTCATCTTTGAAAACCTTACAAAGTGATGCTGTTGTTTTTTGTTGACTAATCTCAGCAACACCAACAAAGATCCCAACGGATACTAGCACTCCTCCCAGACAGCATTTACCAGGTCATGAAAAGATGGCACAAAGGAGATCGTCATTCAGTAGTCAGGTAACCTCTTTAATTAGTATTCTTCTGAATTAAAGATTTATTAAAAGGGAAAAAAGTCATCTGAATTTTCAGAAATTCATTGATTCATTATCTCTTCTGTAAAGATCAAAATAGTCGTTGATATACAACACTTGAGATATTTTTGTCGTTGTTATATAGTTGTCAAATATATCAATTCTTTTAATTTTCAAATAAAATGTTAGGTTTTTTTTCAGTTATGGAAAGCCGATAATTTAGAGCCATTCCATATCTAAATTTTAATACCAATGACTTTGAGTTAAGTTCAATCAACTTTTATTGAGAGCCCATGCAGGGTAATGTGGCAAATGCCTTGGAATAAAGAAACATAAATATGGAACAAATGTTTTCATTGTAGAGGGGGACAATGCCTATACTCAACTGAAAAAGGATGAGGCAAGTTATAATTCAGTTACAAAGATACCGTGGTACTATTTCTGATGGAAGTACTCCTACATGAAAATGATCGTCACTCCAGTGTTGTTTTTTGTTTTGCTTCTAGTCGATAAATTCCCAGTCTGTTGGTCAGTCATTAACACAACCAGTGATGTCTCAAGCCACAAATTTACCAGTTCCACAAGGCATGTCCCAGGTATTTTTGTTTGTTTGTTTCAGTTGAGTATTTTGAAATGATAAATTGTTTTTAAGCTAATATAGAATTTTTTTTTAAAGTATTTTTATAGATACGGTGAATTTCAGCTATGCACATTTAGAATATCTGGGGATATTTTTGATTGTCATTGTTTTTGGAGTACCACTGGCCCTTAGTTTAATAGGCAAGGGCCAGGGATGCTAATTGTCTTTCAGAATGCATGAGTTTTGCACAACAAAGAATCACTGCTTAATTTGCTATAACATCGCCATTGAGAAACACTATAGACAGAAAGATATTGAAGATGAAATGTAGCTGTTCATTTTGTTCTTCCTATGGATATTAGATGAATCAAGTAATTTTATTCATGTATTTATTTGTTCTTATATAGCACATTTATTGAGTTCTTTGTATCAGATATTGCAGGTGCTGGCAATACAAATATAATATATTAAAAGGCTTTATTACAGTGACAACTACAATACAATATATAGTCTATGCTCAAAGGTATATAAGCTGATAGGTGCACACATTATATGGACACTTAATACAGCCTGAGGAAGTGAAGGAAAACTTTCTGGAAGAATTTTTACTTGAGCTAAGTCCTAAAGGCCAAAATATAGAAATTAGTGAGACAGGGTTCAGAGAAGTATTACAGAAGTGACACCAAGTTACTTTTGATTATAACTTCCCAACTTATAATTTATGACTTCGCACTCATTGAGTGCCTCAAACAGTAAAAATACTACTGAGCAGTTATAAAAATAATCTAGAATTTTTTTACTGTTTTGTTATTAAATATACCTTGCCCTAACAGTATCTTAATTTCAAATAATAATAGTTAACAGTAGGTAAAAACAATATATTTTCTAAAAATACTTTTGTCTTATATGGTTATTTTTTAAATTATACCTGTGATACTTGTACAAATATATTGACAATGCAATTAATTTCCTAAATGTGATAATTTTGACTTCTAGCAACACATGCTTATGTAAAGTTTTATAATAGTTCACTGTGTTATTACATATTATATGCAGTTGTAACTCTTTATTATTGAGTTCTCAGATCCTTTTTATTCTGAAAGTTAACAGGATTTTTATATGAATATTTAGACATACTTTTAATATTATTCATTAATCTCTAGATTAACATTTAAAAGTATATTTTCATGAAATAAATAATATCTGTTATGTCAAAAGTGGTAATAATTATTCAAATCTCATATTTCATTTAGTGATAAAGCCAAACATATTGCCTTAGTTCTGTTTCTTGTTATTCTGCCTTTTGTTTTTTTCTGCTTTTTAATTTGTACTTAATAGAAGTACAAATTGGTGACAGTGTAATCATCCAAAGGTTTATTTTAGTTTGGATAAAATATTTGTATGATATAAATGTAACATTTTGAATAATATCTAAAAATAAAGGCATGAGGGAGTTGAGGTATCAAATTTATAATATTTTCTCACATCTGATATATGATATGGTCTGGTGATTATCAACTTCAGAAGTTAGTTGTATACTTTAAAAAGTAATATTCAGTATTCTCAGTACAAACTTCTGAAATAGAGTAAAAAAGCTTTTGGGTGACATGACTAGTTCACTTGTAGATGCAATTTACCCTAGGAGACTATTTTAATACTAAGACAGATTTTCAATAAAGTGAAATTACTCCTGCTCTTGTACTGTGTCCTATACTGAATATTCATGGAAATAATTAAAAGAGTCTGTATAGACTTAAGTGATGAATCCCTAGATGTGGCTAAATTTCAAGCAGAAGTAAATAGAAGCTACTTATGACTCAGGTAAAACACAGAGAAATAAATAAAATTGAAAACCCTGGAAGTAGAATAACTTTGTTTTCATTCTCACATGTATTCATTCATTTATAATTGCTTTGTCTTTAAAAGCCTATGTTTTGTACTTGTCTAAGAACAGTTCCAGTTGAAATGCAAGAAAAATAACATGGTGTGTTATTTCTCAGGTTTTTGTAACTGTCTAACGATGTGCGTAAAGAAGGCATTCAAATGTCAAAATTTGATAGGAATAGCTCTAGGTGCCTGCTACTTTTCCAGTTAGTTGTTAAAGGGTAGAAATGAAGTTAGTAACTTGTTCTAGTAAGTGGTAGAGCCACGGGTCTTTTAATGCCAGTGTGTACTTGTAATCAGGCAAGATCCAGTAAGAAGTCAGAGCCATACTAGAAAATTGAACAGAAATAATGTAAAAATGATTGACTGGCAACAGGGATTAAGTACAAAGTTCTAAAGGCTATGGGGATAACAGATGCAGAGAGCAGCCCTAACTGTAGTGGAAGCGAGAGTACCCAAGGAAGGAGCAACTTGGAAGATTCCTGTGACCTTCTTAAACTCCAGGCCAGGCTGAGATTCAGATCCCACTGGGGCAGATGTGGCTGTCCCAACCAGATGGTTAGAGCAGTTCACTGAGCTGCCATAGACTAGGGCTGGAGAACAGGAAGTCACCTGCTGGAGTACCAGGAAAATTTGCTGAGGAGCTGCCATTCAGAAGCTAGTGAGACTTGCTAGAAAACCATCTGCTGGGATGCTGATGAGACTCACTAGAAGGCTACCTACTGGCATAAGAGCAAGAAGGGAAAGTGTTAGAACCAGAGGATAAGCACCTCCTTTGCATTATCCCTCCATCACCATCAACTAACATGACTAAATTTGTGCCAACCGGCAAAAGAAATATTTATAGAGCCCAGCTCCAGTATCACAAAGCTGAGCAAAGATGGATAAATTAGCTGAGAGGGTAATACCTTGTTAACTGACATAACATTCTTAGCTCATGATATACTGCTTGCTTTTCACATTGCACAATTATGAGGAATAAGTATTTCTAAAATATGTTATACTTTTCCCATACATGGTGCTTCAGTTTCAGTTTTCAGCTCAATTAGGAGCCATGCAGCATCTGAAAGACCAGTTGGAGCAACGAACACGGATGATTGAGGCAAATATTCATCGGCAACAAGAAGAATTACGAAAAATTCAAGAACAACTTCAAATGGTACATGGTCAAGGGCTGCAGGTAAGTTATTACTATATTTGATTCAAACAAAGCATGCCATTCACATTTTAGGAAAATTGACTATTCTTAATGAAAAGAAAGATGTAAGAGATATGTTTCAATAAATACTCATCGGTTACCTACTCAGTATGACTGCATTTAGACTTAAAGATAATTCATTCCTAAGAGTATTTCCATCAACATCATTGTTTCTCCAGATGAGAGCCATCTTTTAGCAGCTCAGTTTTTAGTCAGCTCAAATCCATGATATCAGAATTTTATTTTACATAGACTTTTAGTATGTGTAGGTACAGAATTTATAAATTATCAATTGTTATTTTAATAAAATACCAGTAGGTATAATTTGATAGTTTTATTTGGTCAACCAGCAAGTCCACTCTAAAGTTATGTTTGTCAGAAGAGACTAGGACTTTGATAAGGGAAACTTTAAATGAAAACTACTTCTAATGCCATAAATTATAATGATTAATGATGTAGAGCTGCCAGTCCACGACCTTTGAGTAGCACTAATGCTAATTGATATAACCGATAATCCCCAATGCATAAAATGCTCAAACAAGTAAAGGTTTTGAAATTTATAACACTTCTTTTAACAATTGGAAACATGATTCAGTTAAGGGACTGGAAGAATGATTATGAAGTATGTTTTATCAGTAATTATTTATTAATAATTGTTCATTTCGAGTGAATAGTCTTGTTACTTGCTTTTTAAACTTCAGTTTGTAGCTTGTTTTTGCCTCTTTTTTTTAATGCTCTCATTGTTTTTTGTTTTTAATCTACAAAGTTCATTTTAATGTAATCTTTATTTTTAAAGATGTTTTTACAACAGTCAACCCCTGGGTTGAATTTTGGTTCTGTTCAACTTTCTTCTGGAAATTCATCTAATATCCAGCAGCTTGCACCTATAAATATGCAAGGCCAGGTTGTTCAAACTAACCAAATTCAAAGTGGAATGAATACTGGACACATTGGCACAACTCAGCATATGATACAACAGCACACTTTACAAAGTACATCAAGTCAGGTAATGTTATTGAGTACAATGAAGTGTTCAGTGATCAAAATGTATACTATTGCTAAAACAAAAATAAAGTGCTATCTTGAACAATACCATATTTAAAAATTTAATAGTACTAATTAGAAAGCATAGTATTGAGAGTGATCATTATTAAAATATTGTGCAAAATTGTTAGTTTTGAAATTTGATTGTTAAATACTTTCAATATTTTGACATTTAAAAAATTTTGTAATTAAAAAAAAAATACCGACTTCTTTATGTTAAAAGAGTTGACTTGCAAAAGAGGCTGATATTAAGAAATATGTTACCATATGTGAAGAATAAATTGTTGAGGCAGTGATGATTTAATCAGTATTCCAGGAAATTTTGATAATTGGTGTACATCTGTGACTTTGATAAATCCCAAAGCTTCAAATGAAATAATATAAAAATGTCTAATGTTGGTCATTCACTTTGGATATTTAACGGAAATTCTTTATATATATTTTATATCATCCCTGTTAAGATCATGTTCCTTTTCTAAAGTCATAGCATACCTTCCAGCAATATATCAAAGGCTAATTCATTCTCATTTACTACAAGTCATTAATTTGTGGTCAGATTTCTCCCAGAGTAATATGTCCTGCCACTTCTCTTTCTGTCAAGTCAACTATTGTTAGAATGATTTAGAAACATACGTCCTGATGTAAATTTTTTCAGTTAATCTATCATTAAAATATTCTCTTTTCTAGCAGAGTCAACAAAATGTACTGAGCGGGCACAGTCAACAGACATCTCTTCCTAGTCAGACACAGAGCACTCTTACAGCCCCACTGTATAACACTATGGTGATTTCTCAGCCGGCAGCTGGAAGCATGGTCCAGATTCCGTCTAGTATGCCACAAAACAGTACCCAGAGTGCTGCAGTAACTACATTCACTCAGGACAGACAGATAAGGTAGTTATCATATTTCATAAATCATTCCAAAGTTGTAAATTAATTGATTAAAAAATAATTTAATTTATAAAAATATGATTTTAGTTTGTTGCTCACTTCAGACAATATTCTTGAATTTGAAATAAAAATGCAGAATGTATCATTTAAGGACTTTATATTAAAAAGGTAAATTTTATTTTCTTTCCAAAAATGTGCTACCAGATATTGTAGAATCCAAATTCTACAGCACAATGTTATATAAGTTTTATGACAGGCTTTGTATCACTGTGAAACTTTTATCATTTTAATACCGATGGTGGTGATTTTCATGTAGTAGCAATGGTTAGGGTTTATAGTACTGTAGTTTATGTATATTGTGGAATAAAATTAACTTGCCTTTCTTGAGTTTGTTAAATACTGTACTAAGTGCTCAAAAGGTTATTGTGTGGCGGCTGCCGCTTTTATAATACAAGTTTGCTGTTAGATTAGATTGTATAATGGATTATATTAAAATCCTATTAATACTTTCCAGAGAGTAAAGAAGCTGCAGAATCACAGAGGCAATGAAAGCAGGAAAAACCCATTGCTTCTTTTTTTGACCTGAGTTCCTTCAAGTTAAAAGTCCAGCTTTTAGCTCTAACTTCTTGAAAGGAAGTATTATGAATGTGTTCCATAGATATGCAGAGGACTAGTTTTAAAGCCTGAGGAAATATCTATTAATCTAGAGTGAATCCAGATTAATTCATTCATCTAGAATGCTGAAGGGCATTTTGAAGAATGCAATTTAGCAACTATTTGTAAACATCTGATTTTTGAGGGGAAAAAACTTACTTCAGCAAACTATTTAAATGCCTACTGAGATGATGAATATGGCATATTCCTTGTCCCGAGGGAAAGATCAGACGTTAAGAGACATTGAAAGGTAAACAATATTATTTGGTGTGATAAATACTTAGATCTTTTTTTGCCAGTGAAAGCTTCATGGAAGAGATACTTGGCCTCAGTCTTAAAAGAGCTTGGCTTTCAGTGTACATGTGGTGTGGAGTCTGGGGAGGTTAGTCTAGGCAGAGAGAGCAGTAAATACAAAGTCAGAAGTCATAGTTAAAAAGAAGTAGATTGAAGAATGTCTTTTGGTTCCAGAGGTGGATGAAGTACTGTCATCACAGTTTACCAGTGAGCAGTTGAGCAATTCAGATACTAATTTCTTTTAAGATTACAAAAGAATGAGCACTTAGCACTTCTGTGACTAAGCCACTTTGTGTTACTTATTTCTTCGGGCTTTCTTTATAGGTAAATTTTAAAACTCTTTTATATGTATCTTTGCATTAAGTAATGCCTTTGGTTCTAAAGCATATAAAATATAGTACTTTGGCATGGATTCAAAATAGATTTATTTCGCCTTATGGAATGTATAATCAATAAAGTATGCATCTGTACCAGGTTTAATATTGTTATATACTTTAAAAAGGCTGTAGTTGCAGCCTATATATATCCGTAGTAGAGTCATGTATCTCAGTTTTTTCACTATAATGGCCAATGTTAGAAACTAACTTCATCTCCCAGAAAAAGCAACTAGAAATAATATTATTTCCTGAAGAGGCATCATTTTTTGTTTTCTTTCATTAAAGAAAATAGAAGAAGGAAGGTGGGGAGGGAGAACATTAGTGTATTCTAACCCAGTGAGTACTATGCTGCATTGATACATTTATAAACTGAGAATACTTTTATTCACTGTTAGAATGTCATTTTGTTTTGAATTATGTTCATAACAACTTACAATATAAATATCTCTTTTAAAACTAGTTTTTCTTTAATTTCTCTTATGATAACTTTGTTTATTCATTCATGATTAGTAAAATGAATCATGTTCCACATATATTTTACTCCAATTTTATAAAAAGAAAAAAGTTTAGTAGGTTTAAAAGTTTTTTATTGTGATAAAATATACATAACCGAATTTACAATTTTTAAATGTGCAGTTCATTGACATTGAGTACATTTATGTCTTTGTGACTGTCACTACCATCCATATCCAGAATGTTTTTCATCTTCCCAA